AACCCCTAATTATTTTGTTGCCCTTTTCTGAACTTTTTCCAATGCTAAGATATCTTTTCTGAGATGAGGTGACCACATCTACACTCAGTATTCAAGATGTGGGCAACCATGGATTTATACAGAAGCAGTAAGATATTCTCTGTCTTATTCTCTGTGCCCCTCCCCATTTTTTTTTTACATGGGTGAAAAGTCTGGCTTAAGTGTGCACCAGCTGTGACTTTTGTATCTGTTCATTCAGCACAAATATTTACTAGGTAGGATCACAAAGAAAGAAAGATCCTCTTGATGCCCAGGAGACCTTTGTTAAGTTCCCACCAATATCACAAGATTCCATAGTGACCTCAGATGAATCACTGAGACCTTGATCTGGCAAAGCACCTAAGCATGTGTGTACCTCAGAGTTTGTGAGTACCACTTGGCTTAAATTGGACCACTCCGGTGGTTTGCTGAATCTCTCTGCCTGCATTTTCTATCTGTATAATGGGCACAATATTACTTCATTTTTCTAGTTTTATCTGTCATTTTTAATTAGACAGTAACTCTTTGCAATTTTCTTCCTGTGAGTTTGTACAGCATCGTGCTCAACAGAGACTAGGTATGATGGACTGCAATACAGATATAACCGTAACACTAACTTTCCACAGGTGGAAGACACAAGTAGGTTTTTGCCCATAGAAAACGGACTCTATCCACACACCTGGTTTGTTATCTGCTTTCACTGGCACCTCTGACTAATTACTAGTTGTGCTATAACAGAAACATCACAGCGGAAATTCCTGCCAGGATGGAGTCAGTCAGATTTTAACTTGTGCCGTGCAGGTCAGAGTCTGTTTGCCTTTGAGCTCTACATAAAATAAATGTTTTCAGTGATGTCATAAAAATATTGGACAGATTCAGAGTTAATCACTCTACACAGTATTTTATAAAGTGGAACAATAATGTGGAGACAGAATTTCAAAGGATATTTCCAGTATTTTGCAGAAAATGCTCTCAAGCTTTCTTGGTGGGAGTCATAAATTGCATGGCTAGAAACCTGCGTGCTTATGTCACTTAATTGAGGAGAGCTACCATGTAGTGACACGTCAAGGAGAGCTATGGAGCAACAGGCACTGTCGACTGTTTCTGATTTATGACATATTTACTATGGTGTTTGCTTTATAACATAAGAACAGCCATACTGGGTTAGACCAAAGGACCATCTAATCCAGTATCCTGTCTTCCCACAGTGGCCAATGCCAGGTGCCCCAGAGGGAGTGAACAGAACAGATAATCATCAAGTAATCCCTCTCCTGTCACCCATTTCCAGCCTCTGACAAACAGAAACTAGGGACACCATTCCTGCCCATTCTTGCTAGTTAGTATTGATGGACCTAACCTCCATGAAATTATCTAGCTCTTTTTTTAACCTTGTTAAAGTCCTGGTCTTTCTAACGTCCTCTGGCAAGGTGTTCCACAGGTTGTGCACTGCATAAAGAAATACTTCCTTTTGTTTGTTTCAAACCTGCTACCCTACTGCAGGCAGGCTGTCTTGAGTGCTTTCCAAAAGCCAGGCTGGGCCGTTGTGCAAAGGTAAGAAGCCCATGTATGAGCTGCATGTTGTATCACAGGCTGAGCAACAGCAGCGGTCAGTGTGGGCAGAAGGAACATGGCCTCAGAGTGGAGAGGGCAGCTAAACAAGGTAGCACGTGAAGTGCTTGGTTTTCTCCTCCACTACTACGCAGAACATAGCCTAACTGGCATCAACTCCCAGCTCTGCTGTCAATCTCCTACATGACCTCGGGCAAGTCACTTAAACTCTCTGTGCCTGAGTTTGCTATTTATTACCTGGGGATAATAATCCCCTTGCTCTCTTCCTTCCAGGCAGAGGGCAAGTCAGCCTTGTCTTTTCAGATGGTGAGCAATGTGGAGCAGGGATTGCTTCTTACTCTGTTCCGTGCCCAGCCCTATGGAGACTCTGCCGGGGTCTCCCGTCACTATCGCAATATAAATGACCGTGGAAAGCTGTGATCACCACCTAGTTTTTATAAAAACTTGATTAATGCTGTCAACGTGGGCCTCCGCATTCGGAGCTAATTCTGCAGCAAAGAGAACTAAGTAGAAAGGAACAGATTCATGAACAAAGAAAGCGTTTAGAAAGACAGTTTGATTTTCAAGAGAGAATTTCAAAGGCACAACTCGGAACTTAATGCCACTGAAACCCTCTTGTAATGCTTTAAAAAAGGAATGTTCTGAAATTAAATAGAGACATTTATCTCATAATAAATAAAACCCTTTTTAGAGCTCATCTGTTGATCTCTGAGAACTTGTTACACTTAAGCACCAAATACAAACTAAATTCTTTAAACAGCTGTACGTTACTTGTATGCGGCAAATCCAACAACGGGCCTCTGTGTCGCTATTGCTAACAACAGTTTCCATATTGGGAGTGTTAAGGGTGTGAGGATCTTTGAAATTACTTTCACCTACACTCCTGCTTACAGGGTTTCTGAAAGGAATTTCTTTTGCTCTCTCTGTCCCCAGTTTGAAATTGCCTTTTTGATCTGTACATGGGATAGAAAGACCTTCCTCGTGTGTCCTATTTTAAACAATATATAGAGATGGAGTGAGGATCTGGCTGAAATCAGTTTATTTCAACTCCAGGTATGGCACTGGCATGTTTCCTAGACAAACCCACGAAACCCCATAAACCTGTCTTGAAGGCTCAGCAGTAAGAAAAGAGTCCTGTCGGTTCAGGCTGCAGAAATTCACAATGCTTCTAAAATTCACTCAGGGTGCTTCTACACAGCTGGGTTTAACTCAAAATAAGCTCCACAAATTGAGCTGTCAATTGTGTACCTTATGTAGAGATAGCTTATTTCGAAATTGTGAGCATCTACACAGCGCTTATTTCAGAATAGGGTTGCTAGAAAAGGGAAGGGAGGGAGGGACCAAAGTTATTAAGCAAAAAAAGAAAAAAAAAAGCTGAGCCTTTAAATGGCCCCACGCTCCTTACTCCCCTGCCCGCACCAGATGCCGGCTTCCATCTGAGGGAAACACATATTTTCTGGGGGGTTTTACTGGACGGGGGACCCGAATAACAGAGAGTCTGGGCAAAAACTGGACACCTGGCAACCCTATTTCAGAATAAAGCACTCTTCCTCTGACTTCCCTTTCTCCTCGTACAATGAGGGTTACAAGAGTCGGCGTAAGAAGTCGTCCAGCTTGACAGTATTTCGACATTATTTCAAAATAACTGCCTGCTGTGTAGATGCAGACTAAGTTATTTCAAAATAACACTAGTTATTTCGAAATAATGTTGTTGTGTATACATACCCTCAGTCTCCACTAACCCCTCTGTGCTCTCAAAGCCAGATGCTAGAAAGGGGCTTCAGACACCCCTATACACTCGCCCCACACTGCATTTCCTGAGCAGGGCTGGTATGCTCCATTAGCTCTCAAGATCTGGCTATGGCCCCTCATCTGTTGGCAGTACGCTTGGCCCTGTGCGAACACCCTGTAAATAACGACAATAGCAGCACACACAACAAGGCCCTGAAATATTTCTAGGCAGCTAGTTCTGAGATGCAAGCATGAGAGAGAGATCAGATTTTCTGGAGAAGGAGAGGAGAGGAGGAGAAGGTACTGTACATGCCTGACTCCAATCAAAGCTTGGCTGAAAGGAAAAAAGCCGGAGGGGTGGAGTTGAGGGGCGGGAGAAGAAAGAAAAAGCAGAGTAAACATCTGTGGCTAACAAGCCATACTTGGTCTTTTCTTTCCAAGGAGGATTCTGGCTGGAGGGGCTCCCGAGCGAAGGTTGTTAGCTGTGCCAGATTAGTGTGGCATCTGAGAAGGTAAACTACTGTCGACTAAAGAAAAACTCCTTTGCACCACGGTCTGAATCAAACATAAAGCCTGTTTGCAGACTCCTGTGTTACATCTCCTCAGCCCCAACAGGCTTATTCCACACACATGCTTTGCTGCAGCCACGGAATGAAAAGCAAATGTGGGCAACATATTTCACTCGAATACAGCGAATATTGAATATACAGAGGATTGGGAGGCTAGCATCAGCTCAGTTTTGGGGGCTAGTTATTAAAAGAACGGGGTGTATAAAAAGGAAAGGCTAGTAAAACACTCAGCACCATAATGCTCGACTTAAAAATCCCAAACCTAACAATACGCAAAAGGGGTTATATTGTGGTACTGTCCTGGGTTACATTTTAAATAGTTTTTGCCCCCAGCTTCTGCTTAATGAATGGTCTTTGGGCTCTTGAGGCTAAACTCCATCTCTTCTCCAGCAGCTGGCATTAATGATTTGCCTGCCTTTTAAGGAAGTATTAAAGAGCCGTGGTGGGTTTGTTTTAAAATACACTAAAAGCACTCCCGTAGAAATAATTACATCTAGTAAACAAATAAGAGAAATCAAAGTGGGATGAATTCAAGGACTTGAAACACTTATTAAACCTGCAAATTCTGGGATTTCCACAGTTAAGGCAGATACGGCATTACTTACATGCACCTTTGTCTTACAGACTGTACGGTACTTAGGTTCTAGGGATGTTGTACTACTGGCTGTCACACACACTGTTCTCACTCTGATCTCTGCTCAGTATCTACACTTCTGTAAAGCTACACCAGAAGAGGGGCTGAGTGAAAAGGAGGTTCACAGAGGTAGATAGAAGAGTGAATTCTGGATGCAGCTGCACGTTTGTGGCATCTTTCATCCAGGTATTTAGGCATTTTACATGCACGTGAACCTAGCACAATGGACAGTCCAAACTGAAAACAAAGTAGCCTTGGGGATGCCCTCTGCAGCTGATTTTCACATTGCAAAATCAACGAGAGCGTCAAGGCATCCCAACTTTTCCATCCCCACCTGCACACATTCCCTATGATGCCGCAGTGCTCTGCAACTCCGCTCCCACCCAGCAAGCCATCATTTGTGTTTTAAATAGGGGGATTCACATACTTTCTGGCTGGTTGGAGGTTTAACAGCAGAGCACTAGTTGGTTGTGTCTTACCTGTGGCATTGGAAAGGGCGAGGGACTCCATTGAACCCCGCGGAGTTCGCTCAGTAGGTGTTAGATCCTCGGTGAATTTAAGTGCGTTGATAGGATGTCTTGTTCGACACTGTTGGGTAGACATCTCACCTTCTTCTTCTTCTTCTTCATATTCTGGAACTTGGATGCTTCCTCTGGGCTCATTAAAACTCTGGTTAGACATATCGCTGTAGCTTTCTTGGGACCTAAGCCTTCCTGAATAATACTCTTCTCTGCAATCCTGGATGAAACTTCCACTATGCCCCTTCATTGCCAGAGATGAATTTCTCTTTGGATTGCTGAAATGTTTCCCCCATAAATCTGGCTGAGGGCCTGGAACCTGTCCTGGGTTGTAGGAAGTCCTTATATTACACTGGCTGAGAAGCTGCAATGGGTTTTGGGATTGACTTTGTTCCATTTGATTTCCATAGTGGTAGAGTTCATCTCTGCTTCTCCATATGTGCTCTCTGTTTAGGCTAGGAGTCTGACTAGACAAACTCAGTAAATCCATCTGCAGCGACAGCGGGTCCACATCAGCAGAAAGTCTGTTTGAGGTTGCTGGCAGTTGACCGCATGGATTTAACATGTTTTCCTCCACTTTCCCTTTGTTCTTGCCAATTTTGGCACTGCGGCGGGACTCCTTTGCTCTCGCGCTCTGAAATGCCGAATCCGATGAATCTGAGCCATTCGGGTCATCACCCACGCTGCATGCCCTCGAACAGAATATCTGCCCTTGTTTTGGTAGGAAAGGTCGCCCCAGGAGAGATTTCTTGCACTGAGCACAACAAAAACAGGTTTCGGTAGCATGCCAATGTTGGCCGTCGTAAGTCATCTGGCCCTGGTCTATACCTTTGGGGGGAAAATATACAGAAAAGGTAAGACCTATGTCATCATTTGGAAGTTACATCCTAGAAATGTCAGTGGTCTCATTTTCTAACAGTGCATGAAAGATGACGAAAACACAGAAGACCCTGAACCTACCCTTCCTCATGTTGAGGAGTAGGTCCCTAAAAATGATGACCCTAAAAGCCCCCATCCTTGGGCAACTTCAACGAGACTAGTAAATTACGTAAAGTTAAGCACAAGTCTTCACAGGTTCAAGGCCTAATAAAGGGGCTATTTAATGTGAGGAAAGGTGGCCCAACTGTTATTTTAAATGACTATTTCATAGTTAAAACAGTGGGAACATCAAAGGCTCTTCACAAAGCTGTCAAAGTAAAAGCATCAAACCCACTAGATATTTAATAATAATACAAAAAACCTAACAACCAGAAGCGGCATTTGTGTTGCTTTCCCAGTTATGTGACAAAGCTAAATATAAACCCATCCTTGTCTGCTCTATTCACTGTCAATTTTAAGACCAAAACTTATCATCAAGGCTTGCTTTACAGTCAAAATCCATTAGGTAGCAGCTGAACAGAGGATGAAAGTTTCCTTCGCTCAGCTCTGCCTGGCTTACTGAGGGAATTTAATTCTTTGTAGGCCTAACAATGAGAATCTGTTCCGAACAAGCAGACTCACGAGGCTTACCAGTCATAGGTTACACCAGCTGTAAGTGAAAGAGTATTGATCACCGCCATATTTACCCAAGAATTATCCCTGCCAACTTAGCTCTTTTTTGTACTCACAATGGCTTTGAATCATCTGTATTCCCTGAAATCCTCTTTACTAAGTGGCGTTAAAGGCTTCACTGCAGACTCATGTGCTGTCCCCCTCCACTCCCCCTACTTGGGTTCAAAATTCAACGAGGTCTAAAAGACAGCTTTTCAAAATTAGGAAAAACTTAAAACACAACGAATAGACTGGTAGCACTTTAAAGACTAACAAAATGTGTAGATGGTATCATGAACTTTTGTGGGCGAAGTTGACTGGAGTATTAGATGTCAAGATCCAAGAATAAATAAGGGAAGGGGGAGGGGGAAGAGAAGAGGAAAAAACAGAGAAAAAAGGAGGGGGAAAGGAGAGAGAGAGAGAAAAAGAGAAAGACAGCAAGCAAATGGTTCAAATGCTGTCAAGATGCTGATAAGAACAATTACCTTGTAACTATTTGAACCATCTACTCACTATCTCTCTCTTTTTCTCTCTCTGCTTTCCCCCTCCTTTTTTCTCTTTCCTCCCCTCTCCTTCCCTTATTTATTCTTGGGTCTGGCCTTCTAATATTCCAGTCCCTCACAGCAGGACTCAGTATTGTCTAGACCATCCCATATAGATGTCTATGGGTGTGTCTAGACTACAGGGTTTTGTCAACAAAAGTCCACTTTTGTCAACAAAACTATACCTGCGTCTACACTACCGCTGAATTCTATCGACGGTAAGTCGACAGAACATGGCAGTTTTGTCAACGGCGGTAAACCTCATTCTACGAGGAATAACGCTTTTTGTCGACAGAGTTCTGTCAACAAAAGGTGCAATACCATCCACACCGTGCTTTTTCAAAAGAGAGCATCTAGACTCTCTGTTGAAAAAGCGGCTTGCTTTGTCGACAGAACTGGCTGTAGTATAGATGCTCTTTGTCAACAGAGGCTTTGTTGACAGTATCTATCGACAAAGCCTCTGTCGACAAAAGCCTGTAGTCTAGACGTACCCCACATAACCTGCTCTTAAATATCTCCAGGGATGGAGATTCTACAACCGCCGTGGGCAATTTATTCCAGTGTTTAGCCACCCTGACAGTTAGGAACTTTTTCGTAATGTCCAACCTAAACCTCCCTTGCTGCAGTTTAAGCCCATTGCTTCTTGTCCTATCCTCAGAGGCTAAGGAGAACAATTTTTCTCTCTCCTGCTTGTGACACCCTTTTAAGATACCTGAAAATGTCCCCTCTCAGTCTTCTCCTTTCCAAACTAAACTTGCCCAATTCTTTCAGTCTTCCATCGTAGCTCATGTTCTCTAGACCTTTAATCATTCTTATTTCTCTTCTCTGGACCTTCTCCAATTGCTCCTCATCTTTCTTGAAATGTGGTGCCCAGAACTGGACACCATACTCCAGGCTGAGGTCTAATCAGCGCAGAGTAGAATGGAAGAATGACTTCTCGTGTCTTGTTCACAAAACTCCTGTTAATGCATCCAAGAATCACATTTGCTTTTTTTTGCAACAGCATCACACTGTTGACCCATATTTAGCTTGTGGTCCATTATGACCCCTAGATCCCTTTCTGCCGTACTCCTTCCTATACAGTCACTTCCCATTCTGTATGTGTGAAACTGATTGTTTCTTCCTAAGTGGAGCACTTTGCATTTGTCTTTATTAAACTTCATCCTGTTTACCTCAGGCCATTTCTCCAGTTTGTCTGGATCATTTTGAATTTTAACCCTATCCTCCAAAGCACTTGCAACCCCTCCCTGCTTGATATCACCTGCAAACTTAATAAGTGTACTCACTATGCCAATATTTAAATCGCTGACGATTATATTGCATTTAAATGCACAAGGGAGAGAAGTCAGTGGGTAGAACACATGCAGTGCCCTCTATCAGGTCTTTATTGAGACACCTGGGGTGCATCTAGACTGGCAAGATTTTGCGCAAAAGCAACTGCTTTTGCGCAAAAACTTGCCAGCTGTCTACACTGGCCGCTTGAATTTGCGCAAAAGCACTGACTTTGTAATGTACAAAATCAGTGCTTCTTGTGCAAATACTTTCACGCTCCTGCTCGGGAAAAAGCCCTCTTGCACAAGAATACTTGCGCAAGAGGGCCAGTGTAGACAGGGAAGAACTGCTTTGCGCAAAAAAGCCCCAATGGCTAAAATGGCGATCGGGGCTTTCTTGCGCAAAATCACATCTAGACTGGGCACGGATGCTTTTGCGCAAAAGTATTTTTTGTGCAAAAGCATCCCTGCCAATCTAGACGCGCTTTTGCGGAAATACTTTTAACGGAAAAACTTTTCTGTTAAAAGTACTTCCGCAAAATCATGCCAGTCTAGATGCAGCCCTGGTGTGTCCTCTCTCCTGCTGTACTAACCACTGTACAAACATACAACAAAATACATCTCCTCCCTCAACAATCTCCATTGAAGACAAGAAACCAATAGAAGGGCAGCACAAGTTATCAGTGAAACAAGTGGGATGAATGTCTCAGCTGTTTCTCCAAGGTCGAGCGTTCTGAAGGCATCCAAGCAGACATCAGTTTTAAGGAGTGACATGATGGAGAACAAAGTTAAGCACATTCTTAACTGTGCTGCTGAAATCTTTATTCCTCCCCTGTTGACTATTTGGTCATTTCATGTGAGAAGAAGGGTCCCCCACCTCCACAGAGCAGTAGTGCATTAAACTGTGCACCCACCTATGGGATAAATAAAGGCCTTTCTGTGGATCCATCCATGTAAAGAGACTTTTTTTCCCCTTCAGAATGCACAGCAAAACAACCAGGCAGATGCCAGGATGCAACAACATTAGCTTCCAAACTCATGATAGCCATTTTGATTGGTACCAGCTGAAGGAATTTTAATGTACCAGTTTTTAGACAAGAAATTTGCCAGGACCTAGTGTACAAATGTACTTTTAGAGCACTAAAATATCGACACCAGAAAGCTAGATCAAGTCTTCAGTTGTTGGGGTTGGTTTTTTTTCCTTTCTCTTTCCCCCCCCCTGAGAACATCACATCTATTTGTGGATTAAAAAAGCAAATTGAAATGTTAATGACATCTAATGAACACACATTTTCCCTTGTAACAGCTCATTAACCCATATACTCCCTTTGAAAGCTGGAACGGTACAAATCAGCTACAACAAGTGTAAGAGTATTTAAAAGAAAATGTAAAAATAGACGGTAAATGAATCAGTGAAATCCTTTGGCTTTTGATAGTTGTAATATCTCTGAGATTGCTTTCCAGTGTTTCTTCTGTTTCAAGAAATCTCTCTAGAAAAAAGGGGATAGGATAGCCTCTCCTCCTCCTCCTTGTAAAAGCAGTAATTTAAACAAATACATTACCTTGCTTGATTCTCAAATGAAAAAATGATGTTTGCATCCACAGTTACAGGTTGAACCATTCTAGTCCAGCACTCTCTGGCCCGGCAATATCCATGGTCCAGCATGAGTTTAGTTAGCTGGATGTCCACTTATCATGGGTGTGGGCAAGTTTCCCCTGGTCCCATAAATTTAATATACAGCCACCTGTCCTGGCTCTCAGTGTTCTGTGCTGTTATTTAGCTCTTATTTACCATGAAATGCCTTCTAACAGCCCAGTAAGCAGAGGAAGTGTGGGTAATGCTGCTAGACAATATTGACCTCCCATGGTTTGTCAAATTCTCTGGTCTGGCACCGGTCAGGTCCCAAGGTTGCCAGACTAGAGAGGTTCAACCTTTATTTCCTTACTGTACTATCCACAAGGCAGGGACATGGCTGGTGGTAGTTGTCTGTATATCTTCCTTGCACAGTGGAAATGCTGCAGTATTGACTGGGGTCCCATACAGGCTCCAGCACTGCCAAGTGGCGTTCAAATGATTTATTGACACAAGTAAGAGTGCCAGAAATGTCCTTTCAAGTCAGAGTAATTTCAACAGGTTGCCTCAGGTGTGTTCTACTCAAACTATCACCAAACGCAATGAAATCAAAGCCACCGCACAAAAGACATTATATCACCATCTCCAATGAACCCACATCAAAAGGCGCCAGACTTCATTTCCCCCCCGACTTGCATTCTCTCCCATTGAGTGCCGGAAGGGAATTTTGCTCTTACCTATGTGTTGTGCGCAGGTGTCGCAGTACTCGGCGTACAAAGATTCAAAGCAGTTGCAGCAATACGGCCTGCCTTCCTTCATAATGTACCTCTGCCCTCCCAGCACCGTTTCACATTCAAAACAGCAAAAGTGTTTCATGTGCCAATGTCTCCCTTCGGCCTCGGTGCATTCGTCCGCAAAGATGATCTGGGAAAAGCCAGAGAAGAAAATGAGCTGAGCAGGATCATGGACAGAGAGGGGCTTGGAAAAGGATTTGATATGCACTGGCCATCGTGCTCACCTCCGCCCCCTTGGTCAATTTCAACACCCCCGTGTTGTGAACTGTCCAACACATGGCTGGGGAGCTCACTGCAAGGCAGACAGTGTCACCTTTGCTATTTGCTTGTACTGCACCTAGAATAATGTAGCCCTGACCCCCAATCAGGATTTCTCAGCACTGCCGTAATATAAATCATGCTAATAACGGAGGCTGGAAACAGGATGGGCTATGGGGAAGAAGGCAGTCGAAGCAAAAGAGCTGCTTTGGATTCACAATTAGCTTGGGGGATGAATTTTAATTAAGATTTCAAGCAGCCAGCTGGAACCTTTGATTTAAAACATCGCTTTTAACTGTATTTTGGATGTCTACTTTTTAGTGATTGTCTTAAAGGAATGTTGATTTGCACTGATTGGTAACCACTAAAACAGATTGAATTGCACCTCAAATCTTTGCACTAATTTGGATACTTCTGCTTGCTAAGGAAGAGGATACATTCTAGCTGTGCACATTTATTTAAAAAAAAACCTATATAGCTTAACGCAGTTGTCCCCAACCTTTTTGCTAAGGTGACTCCCCCTCCCCCATTTGTTTCTCTTGGGGACCTACCATTATTCTTGCTCTCCCATCTCTCCATACTTGCTCCTTTCCCATTCTGAACTCCCCAACCCTCTTCCCCCCTCTTATCAGGCCAAGCCACCTGCTCGGCCCCCTCCAGCCTCCAGCCATGTGCTTTCCTAGCCCTGCCTCTTTCTGCAGCCCTCACCAACCTCTGTTCCCCTGTGGCCAAAATGACTGCTATCAGGCTGCTCCCTAGCTCCATACACTTCCTCTGAGCTGTTGGCATCTGGAACCCGCTCCCTGTGCCTTTGCCTGCTGCCCAGGAGAAGTCAGAGCATGTGCAGTGGAATCTTCTTAAGACCTATTGATGAGTTGGGACTCCCCATTTGGGAAACACTGGTAGAACTTACATGTATTCAAATTCTTAACTTTTTACTTTTCAATGCTAGGAAAGGGGAATTGCTCATTTCTTCTCTTGTAAAGGTTGATTCATTTTTTACATATGATTTGTTCTAAGCACCATTTGGATGGAAAGACACACTTTAATTAAAAATGCATGAAAATAGTTTTTTTTAAAAGGAATAAAGCTACCATAAGTGGGCTGGATACATAAGAAAAAGAAAAAAGGGTTTACCGAAGAGTGGATCAAAAATTTTAAATTACTTGATGTATTACACACAAAAAAATGATCTGTAGTTAGTAAGTTGAACTGATTGTTTCTAGACACTCTCTCCGTCAAGATGTTAGAACTAGTAAATCTTATCTTCTCACACCAAGTCTGTATCTGGAGACTGGAAACAGGATTTTTCAACTCCCAATTGGTTTCTTTACTTTGAAAGAACTAGTCATTGAACTGAACTAGTTGAATAAACTTGAATGGAAAAAAAAAAGTCTCTTTACAACCACAGAAGAGGCTACTGCTTAAAAGCTCACGTAGCTTTTCAGCAAACTCAAGTTCCAGATGCTTAGCCAGTAACTTCCACCAGTTCAGTGGTTTGACTCTTAACACTTAGCAGCAGACACGTTACTGCTAAATATTGTTTTTGCCTTCAATTTAAATAATCTGAATACATTATAACACATTTTGGCATTCATGTAAGTTGTCAATTTCAAATTTAATTTTAAAAAGGTTTATTTAAAAAAAACCTGTATTTAAATTAAAAAGCCAATTTAAATAAAAAACTTGATTTTTTTTATTTAAAAAAACATCACCACCTTTTATCCATCCTGTTAATAGCCACAATACTGCAGTCATGAACAGTACTTCACAGGAAAATAAAAAATTCAGACCCTCTACCCAGAATCCTACTGCACTAATTAGGATCATTGCACTAATGACACTGCAAACACAGTCACATTTTCTATTAAGGTTCATTGGTACATGGTGTATGAGGGTTAATGAATGATTCATAGATGCTATAAACATGTTACACACAAGAGTCGTATTTGTTATAGATGCTTCTGAGCACATCAAACAGATGATGTGACATCAATGTAATAAGCAACATACTGACCTATGAAACGTTGCATTAATTACTGATCAATCATTTATTAAAACATCTATTAATCATTTAATAACCATATATAAAGAGTGTCTAAAACACAACAAAAACAACTGTTTGGGATGAAGATTGAGACAGCAATGGTTAGAACCCCTATAATGCCTTTTGCCTACAGATGGCCAACTGTTTTACAAAAATGAGAAAAAAATCAGGATCTCCAGTTTATTGAGGGGGAAACCGAGCCACAGAAAAGTTAGCTTTGTTCTTTGAGGTTACACAGTGAATAAACAGGTGAGCTGCCAACAGAATCGAGGCTTCTCGACTTCTAACACCAGCTCCCAAAGTAGTTCAGGGAACTACTTTGCTTCCATGAAAGGGGGTCAGGTGCAGCATAGTACATTCTGCAAAGCAGGTTACCAGGAAGCTGTGTTCTGCAGTTATTTAATATTAGTTCGATTTTTGTTGGATGCCTTCCCGCCAGAAGTGTTTTAAAGAGGGAAGTGAACTGGGTATTTGTACTAGTATTTGTAACAGGACTTTGCAAACGTAAAAGTACATGAAAAAAATTGCCTCCACTGAAAAGAGACAGAAACAGGGTCATTTCAATGGCTGGGAGTTTTGCTCTATACTAGTAACATTACAAATCTAATTGGATGCATAAGTCAACGTTCTTTATACTTGATGTGTATCTACACTGGGATTTTTGCTGTACACTTGCACTGATGGGATTTAGGATTTTTATAGTACATATGGTTTTCCACACTTCAGTTTGCATCACTTTCAAAGCCAGAACAATTTCCTTCACCAGCCTCTAAACTGAGATTGACATTTGAGCAACAACTGGAATCTTCCTTGAAGGCTTTTTGTATGTTATATTTGTTCGGCTTCCCATATCCCTTTAATCTCCTCTATTAAGTTCTATTTCAATACACTGTAGAGTCAAACTCAACATATCATAAGATACAGAATGTGCTTTCCTCCAGTGCCAAAGTGAGGTTCTTTCTGGTAGATCTGTGGATAGCGGAAGCACCACCACACATGAGCGGACTGAAATGGCAGTTTGGCATGTCGGTAGAGGTAAGTTACTGAAAAGTTCTTCAAGTCTCCTGAATTTAGTCTGAGAGGGTCTAGAGAAGAGCAACAAAATGGTTAAAGGTCTAGAAACGTGACCTATGTGGGAAGACTGAAAGAATTGGGCTTTTTTAGTTTGGAAAAGGGAAGACTGAGAGGGGACATGGTAGCAGTTTTCAAGTATCTAAAGGACGTTACAAGGAGGAGGGAGAAAAATTGTTCTCCTTGGCCTCTGATGCTAGGACAAGAAGCAATGGGCTTAAATTGCAGCAACACAGGTTTAGGTTGGACATTAATAAAAACTTCCTAGCAGTCAGGTTGGTTAAGCTCTGGAATAAATTGCCAAGGGGGTTGTGGAATCTCCATCATTGGAGAGATTTAAGAGCAGATTAGACAGACATCTATCAGGGATGATCTCGACGGTGCTTGGTCCTGCCGTGAAGGAAGGGGACTGGAGCTGATGACCTCTCAAGGCCACAGGAAACCCCAAGTCAGTATCCCACAACAGTGCTGGTAGAAGCCACGTGACTTCAGTGCGCCAGTGGTTTTGCCAGTGGCCAGCGTGGCAAATTTGGGATGGATGATGGGTGTTTTATAAGGGATGGCTCAGAGCCAGTCACTGCCAACGGAACTCTCCTGTATTACCAAACACACAGTAGCACAACACAAGCACCGAACACGCAGCTGAGCCCGTTCTTACCTCGTCACAGGCGGCACATCGAGGCTTCAGGCACTCGGCATGGTGTCTGCCACAGTAAATCTTCCCCTCTTGATAAAAGTAGATGAGATCGACCAGCAGCTCGTTACAGACCGTGCAGATGAAGCAGGGGGGATGCCAGCAAACACCGTGGCCAGCTCTGGACGCAAACACAGCGATGTCGCCGCCGTTGATTTGGCCCCCGCACTGAGGAGGAGAAGAATAATGCACAGGAAGAGGGCTTGTGTTACAGGAAGCCAAAGGGGCACGCTCCTTCCAGGAGCAGTCTCAGGGATGGCCTTTCAGAAGCTGACATATACAACGTGATAAACCAGCAACTGGTTTTCTCCTGGCTTGCTAACAGCTCATTTCCTTCGCACCGAGCAAAGGAAATCTCTCTTGGGTGTCACCATCCCTTGGATACAAGGCAGCCCAAAAGGTCCCTAAAGTTCTACAGCTGTCTTGAGGGATGGTAAAGTAGCAAATTTGCAGTTTCCCCACAGGACAAAGAGGAAGGACTTTTGGAACACGCTTCGGCTACTGGGCTTGACTCTGGCCATCTCCCACCACACCCAGCTCTGTGGCACGGTCTATGCTGGGCTGGCCAGTCAGAGCCCATGGCAAGCATGGTGCCCTCTGTGCGTTTTCTCCCTACGCCTGTAAGGGGGGGAGAAGGGCCTTCCTGGCATGGCTGGGTTCTCGCAGCGTGTGGAACTTTCTGGAAGAGCCAAATGGAGGAGCCGTCTTGGCCAGCTGGCCATTTCTCACTGCACTGCTCAACCAAATGCTTCTAAAGATTTTAGCTGTAACAAGACTGAACACCAAGCATTTCCATGGGACTTCATTTGTCCTTCCTCCAACTCTTGGCTCCGCCCTCCTCCAGCAGTCACCCCTCCCACAACCCACTCTCCAAACGCCCCCAAACCAACCTCCCTCACATCTACCCCTCTGGGCTTCTTCCTCAGTTTCCCCCTCTTGCCTGCACTGGACTGCTTCCCTCTTGTTACCCACTCGGGCTCCCAGCCTGTTCCCTCCTTGACACGGTCGGTGTGAGCTCAACCCAACTGCCTCTCCCCCATTTTGGGGCCAAGACTGGTGTTGCAGGAGTGGTTCCTGTGAGGAGCCCCTGCTGGGGATTAATTAGGAATATTTCCAACTTTGAGGAAGGCTGGAGGGGTTGGGACGCTTGCCTGGACTGAGTCGTGCATGAAACTGACACCACTGCCTGCTACCTGAGCTGGGAATTCCCTAAAAACGCCCATCTGGGAGCTAGACAGTTACCTAGGGGTTCAAGTCAGCCTCCTGCAAGGAGATACTGGATGCAGTGGCAGAAAGACCCAGTGCCTGCGTGCCAGGGCCACCTGCATGCATGCCCTCTATGGAGACCCCGGGATCAGACTTCCTAGGACAGTGTTTCTCAACCTTTTATTATAAAGTACGCCTGGAAATTTCTGGGTGTAAAAAGTACAAAAATAATAAAACGCTTTAAAACTTAACACAAAAAATCAGCTTTCTCCCAATTTCAGTTGTGTTGCCGTACCCCTCAGATTTCTCTCAAGTACCCCAAAGGGTACTTGCACCACTGGTTGAGAAACACTGTCCTAGGACACGCCGCAAGGAAAAGAACGGCTTGCTCCCATTGACAGCACCCGCACTATGTATTTCTGTGGTTTTCACACAACAGGAAAGCCCCATGTGACTCAGATGGCGCCAGCAGCATGTCCCATCCTGGGCACTTACCTGTTCGCAAATGGCTCCTGTCATGGTGACGGGGAACGGGCGGACATTGCCTCTCCCAAGGTTTTCCCTTTTCCTTTGATTGCTGAAGAGTTTGAGCTCCCTCTTCTCTTCCTCATCCAAGGAATTGCAGTAGCGGACCTACGAGGCAAGCAGGGATGCTTTGCTTTACTGTGCCCAGAACCGCCAACAGCCCTGTTGTGACTATGATTTGCAAAGCTCAGTTGATGACAGCAGAGTGAGAACTACACCCTGTCACACAACAGGTGGGGGCAATCTGGAATCAATGTAGTTATGCTGCCTCAGGCTGGTGAAGAGTCTGGCCCTAGTCTGGAAAGCCCAAGGCCACGAGTGGCCTTTATCATCCATTAGCAGGTTAGTCGTTTACTTTCTTCAGTCTTGTCATGCCGCAGGAATCAGAGCAGCCATGGAATGGCTCAGCAGTTGTTCTCTGATACCCACTCTTCCTACATTTATGATGCAGTGCTAATTATTTGCTACGGAAAGAAGACTCCATACCCAGCTTCAGTGAGGGATTTATTAGAGATTCTGTTTTTTTCCCCACAGAGTGAGGGTAGGAGGGATGGGGAAGGGGAGAATGCAAACTATCAAAATTACATATCACCAATGGTTCAGAGAAGAAGAGGTTTCCACAGCTCTGATATTATTTTTGTGCTTACAGATTTGATCTGAAGCTAATGAGATCCCGACAGAATCGGCATTTGGGGAGAAATGTTACTGCCATGTGCAGTAACAGGGCCAATCCCACATTCCTGACTTACGTGAGTAGAGTCATTGCATTCACTGTTTCCATTGGAAATGGATGCCTCACTTCCTCCCTGTCTGCAGAAAATTTTCAGGCTCAGGCCCTTAACGCGTAACAGTAAAAGACGTATTTATTTACTCTCAGGTACACTCAAGGCCTACAGGATCAGGCCCTGAACAATTTGACTCTCTCCTCGCTGGTTTTCAGAATTCTCCTTGATTCTGATAATACTGCATTGTATTTATATGGCATCTTGCCAGGCACTGACAAGCACATTAAAATATGACCTAGATAAAACAAGTTACGCACATGCCTTTCGCCGAGGAGCAATGTGAGGATCATTGTTTATGCAACGGAACTTCATGAGATATTTGAGTTCAATGTCCACACTCATAAGAAAAAAATTAAAAGATGGGGGGCCCTTTTCTGCTGTCTCATATCAATAACAAAGGATTTAATAATTATCTGAATATACCATAAGTTGCTGTCAACGATCTTGACTGGAAACTCAGAGCTGAGGTTCAACATCTGTAAAAGCACAGATCTTAACTCATCCTCTAACTGTTTAGCACAAATACAAAATCACTCCCCATTTAGAGACATTTGAAAGCCCTACATATGAGAGAGCAGGACTCTGGATAGACTTTTGGAGTTCATTTAAATTCTAGCTCTAGCTGATTTAACTGGAACCTTAATCCAGTTGCAACACAGTTTCTGCCTTTGAGTGTAGAAAAATGTCCTCGTTATGTACACACATGATTTTAGGAAGATCAATTCTGAAAATTAAAATTAAAGCTCAAACTTGACCTTTAAAAAACAAAACACAAGTTGCTAAGTGAGCAACATAGGAATTCAACAAGTGAGGATCTCAAGCAATTAATCTACTACACAAATGTATTCACAAATATGCAGAGAAAGATCTCCCCTATCTACAGATTTTTAATCCACCCTAGAAAATACAATGAAGAACTGCATACTTGCCTTCGAATACTGTAGGTTGGTTTAAAAAGTTAGGCTATCGAATTCAATAGGAGTTGTGCGTGAGGGAGCTGGCAGCAGTATGTGATAGTGAAAGGCACCTGGCCGTACCATTTTCATAGCACGACGTGCTCAAAAGTGTTGTTTAAAGAATGAAATCAAGAAAACTCCAACTGAAAGCTGCAGTAACGTGCATGAGATTCTTTCAGTGGATCGACGAAGCATGACACCAGTGCTAAATCACAAAGGTGCATTCCCCTGGCTGCCTAATATGATATATTGCAACGTTTAAATTATTTTTAAACCACTCACCTCATTGTCATGCGGCGGCAGTTGGTGCAAAAGCTGCTTAATGCGCAATTTCTCCCCAGGACTGTTCACGTAGGGCACTTTGTCTTCTGGGAGGCAGCTGTAGTACTGGTGAACCTAAACATTAAAAAAGCGCACTGCAGTACAATGCCTTGATTGACTTTGGAACATTCTCTTCAGCTGAGAGAACAGAACACTTGGAGAGCAAGCGACCTCTAAAAATGAAGGGTGCAAATGGAAAAAAATGCCTTTAAAGTTAAATCTTCCAATGTTTATTTTATAGAGGGAAACAAAACAACTCACTTTCTTTTTAAAAAAGAGAGATAAAGAGGAGATAGCAGGAATCCCATGTTTAATCGAACTCTCAGGAGTGGTTCTTTACCGTTTTCTCTGTTAATGTCCACACTGTTAGCATGTTTCTCTTGGTGAGGAAAATGTGTTAGCACCTGCCTTTGCAACAGAGGTTAACAGTTCTACTCCCTGGCACCTAAGGTGTTACTGGGTACTTCAGCCTCCACCTACTCTGACACCCTCAAGGTCTTTTCTGTAACAATTTGTGAAAATAATCAGCAGCTAGAACCTGTTGGAAGGCTTGTTTTTTTTTCCCTTTGCTCTCCGAGTATATAATTAAGACAATTATTTAAAAGTACAGCATTGTGGAGAGCAACGTAGCCGCCTCCTAGGAAATCGTGTGTGAGAGAGAGAAAGGTACATGCACAACTCCAGCTCATCCTTGTGCGTATGCTCATCACCAGCTCATCAGTGTGTGAGTGTGTGTGTGTGTGTGTGTGTGTGTGTGTTTATGCACAACGTGCACGCACAACTCCAGCTCATCAGAAGTCTGGCTGATACTGGGGCTTGGGGGAGGGCTTGCTGGCTGAGGTGCCACTCAACGGCTGGGGTGATGTCTATGGAGATGTCTGAAGGCTTGGGAAGAGCACCCAGAAGGTTTGACATAAATGTAATTGCCTCCCTTTGGCTGGGGGGGGTGCGTGCTCCCCGTCAGCGCTGGAAATGGTGAAGGATCAGGGCCGAGCTAGGGGCTCGTGGCGACTAGATGCTCGGCAGGCAGCAGCAGGCCCGACAGCTCTTTAATCCATGCTTGTTAAGAAGGACACAGCGCTTCATACCGTTTGCCACCTTGAAGTCAATCTCCAGCCAGGCATCTCTACATTGCAATCATGTAGAAATATAATTGAGAGCAAGACGTGGCTGCCTGCTTAGCTAGCCGAGCTTGGCTCTGACAGCACAGAAGTGACCATGGCTTCCTACCAGGTCCTCTGTGGAGTTTAAATCGGATTTGGCCAAGGAAGGCCTGAGTAATCTGACTTTCCCGAGAGACCACATCTCTCCCTCATCCCCCATGCTGTGCCCTGGCTAGTAAGTGCTTTCAAAGGAAAGGAGCTAGAAAGGGGCCTTTCCCTGGGAATGCTCTATCCCACCAGTGAATTTCAGGGGCGGCTGCCCAACTCGCGTCTCATGGTGAGTGAGGAACATGGGTGGCATGGCCAGCGGGGGACAATCTATGTTTTGAAGGGAAGAGAGGACTGAAGAAGGTGGGTTGCCCTTTAATTTGCCTCCCTTCCTCTAGCGTCTGAAAGGCTTATGGCAACTCCACACCCCACTCCCCAGACAGGAGCAACAAGACACACAAGGATAGAGGGGGGTGTCACAGCACATTTTGAACAACATACCTTGGGGGCCGACCTACCATGAGGCGTTTGCTTCTGAGGGCTCCTTCACCCAGGGCATTATTCCAGAATGGCGACAGTACGATAAATGCCCACCTACTTACTCAAACAACTTTCAAGTCACTGAGGTGCTTCTGAAAACCTCCCTCAGCTTCTGAATTTTGAAGTCCTTCTCTGAAGCCATGCTAATCTCCACCCTCCCAACCTTGCTTCCATACTGAGGGTGAGTTTTTGACGTGCCTCTAGCTGTATTTTTGCTACACGTATGGCCAGGGTCTGACATATGGTATGGGACGCTGGCTTCCGAGAACCCATCAGCTATATCCAATCATCCAAATAGATGGCACGGAATTAGTACCACTAAATGCAACAGACAGACAACCAACCTCCTCCTGTGGGAGCCGGAGAAGACATTGAGAGATCCAATTAACTCTGTTATTTAAAAATAATAAATATGATACTAAATAAATAAACCTTACTTCGTATTTATAGAGCCTCCTTTATCCAAGGATCTCAAAATACTTTACAAACAATTAATTAACCCTTACAAGGTTGTGCCAGGTAACAAATATAATCCCTTTAAGGACCAACTAAAGTGTATAAATACTAATTGATATATTCATGGTCTTGTAGCTAGTCAGTAGTAAAGTTACTAACACATTCCAGTAGGAGCCCTGACTGCCATAGCTTTCATTGAAATGCGGGGTTACATCACCCCTCATTTCACAGAGCTCTGCTGATTTCTCTTTGCAAAATTTCCAATCGAGTGTCTGTACTGATAGCTTAGCCTCTTTGCTCTGTATCACTTGGTCTCTGATGGCTGCAAATGAAGATCTTACGCACAATACACAGAATCATAGAATACTCGAACTGGAAAGGACCTTGAGCGGTCATCAAGTTCAGTCTCCTGCCATCAAGGCAGGACCAAGAACCATCCAGGTCATCCCTGATAGATGTCTATCCAACCTGACAGGAAGTTTTTCCTAATGACCAACCTAAATCTCCCTTGCTACAATTTAAGCCCACTGCTTCTTGTCCTATTCTTGAAGTTGAAGGAGTCCAGAAAGAATTATTCTTTGACTAGCTGCCAAATGACATTCTGTTGTTCAGGGAATGAGCTGTAAGACACGCACCATACACCCAAGGAGCTCCGGCTCTGCTGTAGGTTTGCAAGCCAGTGTTTGGTAACGAGTGTTTGTTTCCTGGCCATCGGACAGAAAAATCGAGTGCATGCGGCCATAAGCACTTCCTCTGGCAAGTTTTCCATGTAATCTCAGGCCTGCTGGAGACTGCTCCCATAAATTTAGCAAAATATTTCTGTAGGGATGGGCAAATTCATTTGGAAAACAAAACAAAATAAAACAAAAACAGCAGGCCCAGACCTGTGTGGCGTTGCCTGAAATGAGCCTGAAACATTTTATCATCTTCAAATCAGCTCAGGCAAGCTTTCCCCATTGTCTCTGACCCGCTGCAGGAGGAACCATCTTCACCACGACATCGGCCTGTTCCCTCTGCGTGCTGATCCTCCTCCCCCAGGAGGGAATGACTTCATCGTGTGAATTTTTCACACATTGCCCCAGGCTGTAATTTTTGCTTGTCTTTGCCCAAAGGGCCAACTCCTGGCTCCAAGTGAGTGCATTCTAACAATGGGAAAACAGGGCAGTTGTTCTATTTGCTTGATGCTGTGAATGCTCACCACGTGCTAAGTGCTTTCTAGACCTTCCAGAAGGGATGGCCTCTGCCCCAAGGAGCTCATAGCTTAGGGACTTGGAGACACGTTAGGGGAAAAGGAGCAACAATCAAACTTAAGAAAAATAAAGTCTCAGAGGGGTTGCCATGTTAGTCTCTAATTTTAAAAACAAGTAGTCCTGTGGCATCTTGGGGCATGTCTACACTAGGAAACTATGTTGAAATAACTAAATTCAACTTAACTCCCAATTTTACAAATTCCAGCTAGCATGTCCACGCTATGGGGAAGCCCTGAAATCAGTCCCAGGCAGGCTCCATTCTTGTGGATGTGCTACTTCAGACTTAGAGCCCCAGGAAGCACTGGGGAGTAATTAGCCCGAATGACTCTGGGGAGTCGTTATTTCGAAATAGCAGCAGCGGAGCATCCACGCTGCCTCAATTTCGAAATAACTATTTTGAATATAGCGTTATTCCCCGAGGAAAGCTGGAGCACAGATTTCAAGATAATGGGCTTGGTTGTGCAGATGCTCCACTTATTAATTCAACTCAAGGGGGGGTTATTTCAAAATAACTCCCTAGTGTAGACCAGGACTTAGGGACTTACACACACACACACACACACGGGGCTGTGCACCCTGCTCGCTGCACTTGCCAACCCCCCCTCTCGCAAGGGCCCCCTTTCCCTCCATCCCTGCCAGCTCCCTAAGAGGCTGGTGGCAGGGGAGCCCCCAAAAGCCCACTGCTGGCACATAAGCCCAGCTGGACACCTGTCCCCAGGCTACTGTCCCGAGCACCCTCCTCCCCCTCCCCCACCCTTGGCCTTTCACAGCCGAGAGGTGGGGTCTGCCAGCTGCCGTGCCATGTGTCTCGGCATTTAAAGCCCGGTGGAGTGGGGGGTGGCAGAAGGGGAGTAGGGGCTTGGTTTAAAATAGCAATTCCAAGTGGCGAGGGGAAGCAGCGAGGTCGGGCTCGAATTTGGGGGGGGAGGGGAAGAGAAGGAGGAGGCAGGTGGGATGCAGAGTGATGTGATGATGTCACTCTGTCATCTCACAGGAAAAACTTTTTTATGTGTAGAGAGAGATAGTATCATGAGTTTTTGTGGGCAAAGCCCACTTCTGCAGATGAGCTGGAGAGGAATAACAGAAACCAAGTACTTCATAACGGAAAAGAAAGGCATCTGTCAATTGTAGGACCGGTACTAATAAAGCTAAGTAAGTGGGCTGCAAGTGTTCTATCCTTTGTTCTGATGTAAAAATGAGGTGTAAATGGCAGGGGACACTGTCTTTATAATGTGCCATCCAGTTAATGTCTTTGTTCCAGCCCAGGGAAACCGTGTCAAATTTGCAGCTGAATTCCCCCCTCTCTCTGTCATTGTCTGGTGAAATTCCTTTGTAGGAGAATGGCTACTTTTAAATCCACGACGGAGTGCCCAGGCAAGTTAAAATGTTCCTTTACAGGTTTGTGTGTGTTACCATTTCCGATGTCTGATTTGGGTCTATTTACCCTGTATCACAGAAACTGTCCGGTGTGGCCAATATTCATGGCCGAGAGGGATTGCTGGAATGTGATGACCCAGATCCCATTAGAGGCTTATTTGACCAGGACCTGTGATGGTGTTGCATGATTCTCAGGAGGCAGCAGAGCAGGAGTGAATCTTTAAACATGGCGATTGCTCGTGTGCTCCCTCCCTGCACATCTCCTGTACTAATAATCGGGGCCTGGAAGAGAAAGAGACAG